ACGTGGATTGTGCCTCTGCGCCTGAAGCTGCTGCTGCTGCTGCTGCTGCTGCTGCTGCTGCTGCTGCTGCTGCTGTCTCCAAGGCCCCAATTAACTGTCTCCTGTCTCCTTCCGTAGTGCACAGGAACTCCGCCAAGCAGAGCCAACACGAGGCCTGAAGGAGACAGGCCGCAGATGCACTTTTGCTGCTGCTGCAGCAGCAGCAGCAGCAGCAGCAGCAAGCTCTAAGAGCTAGAATGACTGCAGCAGCCCAAGCCGCAGTGCATCAACGCCTGCAGCAAGATGAGCAGCAGCAGCAGCAGTGGTGCAGCAGCAACAGCAGCAGCAGCAGAGGCGCAACAACAGCAGCAGCAGCAGCAGCAGCAGCAGCAGCAGCAGCAGCAGCAGCAGGGTACCTGCTTTGACGATATGCCTGCCTACAATGGAAGGGGCGATTGAGGAGACGAGCAGCTCGAAGCGTCTCCTTTCGAGTGTATAGACATCTGCGATGAACTGCAGCAGCCGCCCGCCTGCTGCTGCTGCTGCTGCTGCCACCAGTGCGTCAGCTTCCTGCGCGGGCGCCTCCCCCGCAGCAGCAGCAGCAGCAGCAGCAGCAGCAGGGGGGCCCAGCGGCTCCGCCGCGTCCTCCGCGGCGTCGTCCGCAGCAGCAGCAGCAGCAGCAGCAGCAGCAGCAGCAGCAAAGTCGCGCCAGGGCAGCGGGCGGCGGGCCTGAGCAGCAGGCAGCGGCAGCAGCGCCGGGGGGGCGCAGCGGTGGCTGCTGCACCTGGCCCTGTGCTGCTGCAGCTGCTGCTGCAGCACTCTCCAGTCCAAAGGAGACACGGAGACAGCTGAAAGAAACAGAGTGTACAGACTCTTGCTGCCCCCCAGCCGGCCCCCCTCAGCTGCATGCGGCGCCGCCAGGTGTGCAGACACCGCGGGCGACTGACGCGCCTGCACTATCCCTGCAGCAGCAGCAGCAGCAGCAGCAGCAGCAGCAGCAGCAGCAGCAGCAGCAGCAGCAGCGGGTGCGCCGCTTGTTTTTCGCGCTTTGGGGCGCAGGTGTACGTACACCGCAGCTTCGACACGCATGCACGGCCAACCAGCTGTACCGACACCCAAAATCAAAAACACAAAATACACTTCTCAAACACACTTCAGGGGGCCCCTCAGGGGCCCCTCGGGGGCCCCTCGGGGGCCCCTCAGGGGCCCCTCGGGGGCCCCTCGGGGGCCCCTCAGGGGCCCCTCAGGACCTTCTCAGGGGCCCCCTAAGGCCTCTACAGACCCAAGGGGCCCCTCAGAGGCAACAAACCCCACAGGGGGCCCCCTTAGGGGCCCCCAGAGGCAAGGGCCCCCACGGGGGGGCCCCAAGAGTGAGGGGCCCCCCAGGGGGCCCCAGGGGGCCCCAGGGGGCCCCTGGGGCCCCCAGGGGCCCCCAGGGGCCCCCAGGTTTTAGGGGGCCCCCTATGCATGCATGGACTTTGGCTTTTAGGGTTTAGCTCACCTGTGATGCAAACCCGGTCTCCTGGGCTGCACTGGCCAACGAGAAAGCCGGTGAGCTGCAGCGCCACCGCAAACCCTAAACCCTAAACCCTAAACCCTAAACCCTAAACCCTACACGACTGGCTTTTGGCTCGTGGCCCGAAACCTAAACCCTAAACCCTAAACCCTAAACCCTAAACCTTACGCGCAGCGCAGGGCAACTCGCGCTGAGGCACTTTAAAGTTGAGAGCCAACACCTTAGGGTTTAGGGTTTAGGGTTTAGGGTTTAGGGTTTAGGGACCTCGCAGTCGATGGTGGCCGGGGGCCTTATTCCCCCGGGCAGGGGCCTCCCTTGTTCTTCTTGGGGGCCCTCTGCTGCTGCTTCTGCACTTTGCGTTGTTGCTTCTTGCAGCCTGCAGACCCCAAACCCTAAACCCTAAACCCTAAACCCCAAACCCCAAACCCTAAACCTTAAACCCTAAACCCTAAGCCCTAGCTGCGAGTCGCTTTGGCTCGCACTTCCAGCAGCCACAGCGGCACCAGCAGCAGCCCTCGAAACAGCAGCAATAGCAGCAGCACGAACAGGCCAGCAGCAGCAGCAGCAGCAGCAGCAGCAGCAGCAGCAGCAATTTGATGCCTCGCCTAATGCGCTGTACGTCCACCGCAGTTGCCAGTCTCCGCAAGGGGACAAAAAATCGCGAAGGGCAGCGGCTGCGGGGGCACACTTGTGGGGGGTCGTAGCTGCAGCAGCAGCAGCAGCAGCAGCAGCAGCAGCAGCAAGTGGAGCAGCAGCAGCAAGAGGAGCAGCCGTGGTTGGGTCTGAGCGCTGCCACCGCGCCCCTATGTATCGGCAGCAACAGTCTTGGCTGTAGCAGCAAAGTTTGCAGCAGCAGCAGCAGCAACAGCAAGAGGAGTAGCAGCAGCAGCAGCAGCAGCAGCACTAGCTGCAGCAAGTCGTGTTTTGGAAAGTCCTCAGCAGCAACCGCAGCAGCAGCAGCAGCAGCAGCAGCACGCAGGATACGCAGCCGCTTCTGCTGCTGTTTCTGCTGCAGCGGCCTCGCTTCTGCCGCCGCCGCCACTGCAGCCGCCACCGCTGCTGCCGCTGCTGCTGCTGCTGCTGCTGCTGCTGCTGCTGCTGCTGCTGCTGCTGCTCACCGTCCGTCGAGAAGCTGCTTGTTGAGGCGGAGGCCGCATTTGGCGCATTCGAAGCAAAGCCGCCGCAGCAGCGGCTGCGAAGAGTGGGCGCGCAGCACGGAGCCGTGGACGGAGACGAGGCGGCCGATCTGCAGCAAAAGTTGAATTTAATTTCATTTATTTAATTTATTTAATTCAAATGATTTTAAATCCTTTTTATTCATTTTTATTCTTCTTCTTCGTTCCAAGCCGCTCAGAACAAGTGGTCTTTGGTCAGGGAAAGGCAGAGGCAGCAGCAGCAGACGGGCCCAGCCACTGCAGCAGCAGCAGCAGCAGCAGCAGCAGCAGCAGGAATGCCAGTTGCAGCAGCAGCAGCAGCAGCAGCGGCTGCACCCGTGCAGGAAGCAGTTCGTTACGGCGTTGGAAACGCCAGCAAATGCAGCAGCAGCAGCAGCAGCAGAGGCGGCAGCAGCAGCAGCAGCAGCAGCAGCAGCAGCAGCAGCTTGACCTGGTTGCTGCGGAGGGCCCCGAAGGCGGTGGGGGGCCCCAAGTCGATGGGCCGAATGGAGACAGTAATGGGGACTCCTGCTGCAGTGCTGGTGAGTTCTGCTGCTTCCGGAGACAGTTGTGCTGCAGCAGCAGCAGCCGCCGCGGCGGCCTCGCCGGCGAGCGCAGCAGCAGCCACTGCAGCAGCAGCAGGAACCCGAGCAGCAAACTCCGGCAGCAGCAGCAGCGCATGCAATCCGCAGCTCATTGCATGCAGCACATCTTGTGGGGAGCAGCAAAGAGAGGAGACAAAAGCCCCGGGGCTGGGGGGGGGCTGTAGAGACACCAGACGGCCCAGCACCAGCGGCACTTCCAGCGTGAACGGGTCCACCTGCAGCAGCAGCAGCAGCAGCAGCAGCAGCAGCAGCAGCAAGTGGGGCTCGGCGCAAGAGCTGCTGCAGCAGCAGCAGCAGCAGCAAGTGGGGCTCGGCGCAGGAGCTGCAGCAGCAGCAGCAGCAGCAGCAGCAAGTGGGGCTTGGTGCAAGGGCTGCAGCAGCAGCAGCAGCAAACGGGGAGGGCGCAAGAGCTGGAGCAGCAGAAGCACCAGCAAATGGGGCTGGGCGCAGGAGCTGCAGCAGCAGCAGCAAATGGGGCTGGGTGCAACAACTGCAGCAGCAGCAGCAGCAGCAGCAGCAGAGCATGGGGATGGGCGCAGGAGCTGCAGCAGCAGCAGCAGCAAGGTCCAGCAGCAGCAACAAATGCGGGTCCATGCAGCAGAAAGGACGAGGATCTGTTTCTACGCGGGTATCTGCAGCAGCAGCAGCAACAGCAGCAGCAGCAGCAACAGCAGCAGCAGCAGCAGCAGGCTCGAGGGGACTCTTACCACTGGCAGAATTTCATCTGCGTTTCGAATGAAGAAGTCCAACCAAAGGGACACAAACTGCTGCAGGCCCTCTGCGCAGGAACAGCAGCAGCAGCAGCAGCAGCAGCAGCAGCAGAAGCAGCAGCAGCAGCAGCAGCAGCAGAAGCAGCAGCAGCAGCAGCTGTGATGGGCAAACAGCAGCTCCAAAGCCGATTGCTGGAGCAGCAATAGACTAGCACGCACAGCTACATGGGCAAGAGGATGATTTGCTGCTTATGCAATAGCTGCTGCTGCTGCTGCTGCAGTGGCAGCAGCAGCAGCTGCTGTTCCTGTTGCTGCAGCAGCAGCTGCTGCTGCGGCAGCAGCAGCTGCTGCTGTTTCTGTTGCAGCAGCAGCAGAACGGCAGCCACTGAAAAAAAGAGGACTGACCATCCTGAGACTCTCCCGGGAAGAAGAGCTCCAAAAGGGCCACAGGGATCATCTCAGCAGCGACCCGCAGGAGGGTTTAGGGTTTAGGGTTTAGGGTTTAGGGTTTAGGGTTTGGGGGTTTGCCCTGGGGGGGTTCCTGGGGCTCCCTGGGCCCTGCTTGCTGCTTGTCCCCGGCAGCCCTTATGCAGTGACCAGCTAGCTAGCTAGCCAGCCAGCCAGCTAGCTAGCTAGCTAGCTAGCTAGCTGGCTAGCTAGCTAGCCAGTTTGCTGCGCCTAAGTTGCGGCTAAGGGCCAGCCCCTGCTGCCTTCATGGGAGAAGATGAAAAGAAGCAAAGTTTGGGGAAATGGGGAAATAAATAAAAAGGAAAAAATAAAACAAAAGGGAAATAAATAAAAAAGAAAATAAATAAAAAGGAAAATAAATGAAAAGGAAACAAAATCTCTAAATTGTACTTCCCGCGTGTCGGGCTCGAGGTGTACATACACCCCGGAACCCACCGCCTAAACCGCATGCAATTCTGCAGTTATGGACGAAAAGTATTTCTTTTTAATTATATTTTAATAATAAATAAAATGGAAAGAAGAAAAGGGGTAAAACTGCGTGTTTGTTGGCGACTGGAGGGTGGGGTTGTTGGTCTGGAAGCCGGATCGAGCATGCAGGCGACTCTTCGGCCGTTTGCGCGACTTCGCCGGTAAAACGGGATTTTAATTGTCAATTTAATTAATTAAAACTAAAAAATAATCAAAAATAAACTTATTTTATCCTCAAATGGATTTATTTTCTCCAAATTCCAAAAAATGAACAAAAGATGCACAGCGCTCGGGTGTACATGCAGCGAGCAGTACATACACCCCAGTGGCACAGACGCGGAAGATATGGAGTGTCTCGACAGCTCAGTCCATTCAAATAACAAATAAAATAAATAAATTAAAAATAAAAACATTCAATTCAATTTGTAGTTTTAATTTAAAACAAAATAAAGAGTTTCAGCCGCAGCAACAGACCCCACCCACTGGGGCCCCACACTCTGCAGCCAGCTGCAGCTGGCTAGCTGTAGCTAGCCACACCGAGATCTAGCTAGCCACAGCTAGCTAGCCACAGCTAGCTAGCCATAGCCAGCTAGCCACGGCTAGCTAACCACAGCTAGCCATTGCTAGATCCAGCTAATGGCAGCTAGCTAGCCACAGCTAGCCACAGCAAGATCGAGCTAACCACAGCTAGCCTGCCGCAGCTAGCTACAGTGAGATGCAGCTACCCACAGCTAGCTAGCCGCAGCTAGCCATCGCTAGAGCCAGCTAGCCACAGGGTGATCTAGCCATTCACAGCTAGCTAGCCACAGCTAGCCACAGCTAGCCACAGCGTGATCCAGCCACTCGTAGCTAGCCACAGCTAGCTACAGTCCACCACTCACAGCTAGCTGCAGCTAGCTCTGCTAGCTGCTGCAGCTAGCCACCGGCAGCTGGACGTGACAAGAGGGTTTAGGGTTTAGGGTTTGGCCAAGGGCCTGTTTGGAGGCCCTAAAGAAGGGCCTAAGGGCCCATTCTTTTGCCACTAAAAAGGGTTTAGGGTTTAGGGTTTAGGCGAGGCCTTGTTTAGGGGCGTTGAAGAAAGGCCTCAGGGCCCATTCTTTTTCCAGTAGCTAGGGTTTAGGGTTTAGGGTTTAGGCGGGGGCTTGTTTGGGGGCGTTGAAGAAAGGCCTGAGGGCCCATTCTTTTTCCAGTAGCTAGGGTTTAGGGTTTAGGGTTTAGGGTTTAGGCGAGGGCTTGTTTGGGGGCGTTGAAGAAAGGCCTGAGGGCCCATTCTTTTTCCAAGTCCTTCATTTCTGCTGTCCCCAATTCTATTTTGAAAGGCTTCAGACAAAAGCGAGGGCCCACTTCTGTTAGAGACAGTCCCTTCGCAGTTTCTTTTCCTGAAATAAAAAATAAAAATAAATAAATAAATAAATAAATAAATAAATATATAAATAAATAAATAAATAAAGAATAAAGAAGTAATAAATAACTTTAATTATATTCATAAATGAATTAATTAATTAATTGTGAATAAAGAATAGTAGTAAGTGGAATAATTGAGAAGAAAGAAAAAGGGGACAAAAAGATGCAAAAAATAAAAGGAGACAAAAGAAGTGAGAGGAGACCAAAGAAATAAAAGGAGACAAAAATAAAAGGTGATAAAAGAAATAAAAAGAGACAAAAAAATGCAAAGAGACAAAGAACTAAAAGGAGGTCAAAGAAATAAAAGGAGACAAAAAGAAATTAAGGAAGCCAAAGAAATAAAAGGAGACAAAAAGAAGACAAAAGAAATAAAAGGAGACAAAAAGAAATAAACGGAGACGAAAAGAAACAAAAAGGGACAAGAAGAGATGAAAAGAAACAGAGAAGAGATAAAGGAAATAAAAGGAGACAAAAAGAAATACAAACAGAAATAAAAAGAAATAAAAGGAAGTAAAAAGAAATAAAAAGGAAAAGAGACAAAAGGGAAACAGCAAAGAAAACGAAAAGAAATAAAAGGAGACAAAAGGAGACAAAAAGAAAAGACAAAAAATTGAAAAGCAAATTAAGATGAATAAGGAGACACTGAAGAGACACCAATGGAGACAAATCAACAGACAACAAGTGAGACACAGCAGCAGCAGCAGCAGCAGTGCAGCAGCAGCAGCAGCAGCAGTGCAGCAGCAGCAGCAGCAGTGCAGCAGCAGCAGCAGCAAAGAGAGCAATCAGTGCGAGTGCGGAGGGCAAGACAGCGGCGCTGCTGCAGCAAGGAGACAAAAAGGGACAATTCAAAAAGCTGCTGAGAAGCAAAATTAAATGCGAAGAGCAGCAGCAAGTCTGAAGAGACAAAAAGAAGCAAAAGGAGACAAAAGAAATAAAAGAAATAAAAATAAAAAGAGACAAAAATAAAAGAAATAAAAATAAAAAGAGACAAAAACAAAAAGGAGACAGCAGCAAAGAGACAGCAACAAAGAGACAGCAACAGCACGTGCCTGCCTCCTTCTCCCCCTCCCCACCCCCGCCGCCGCCGCCGCTGCTGCTGCTGCTGCTGCTGCTGCTGCTGCTGCTGCTGCTGCTGCTGCTGCTTCTGGTGTCAGTCCAGGTGTAGTGTCGGAAGTGAATTGTGTCATTGAAGTTTACAAACGCATGCACGCGGTGGCTAGACACCGTAGAAGGCGGAAACAAAAACTTCAAAATCGAAAGGACCCGCAGCCCCACAGCAGACGCGAAGTTGTGAAACACCAGGTGCGGCGGGGCCTGCAGCAGCAGCAGCAGCAGCAGCAGCAGCAGCAGCAGTGCAGCAGCAGCAGCAGTGCAGCAGCAGCAGCGGCAGTTCCGCCGCGGCAGCGGCAGTTGGGGGGCAGCAGCAGCGCAGCAGCAGCAGCGAAGGGGCGACTGCTGCAGGCCGCAGCAAACGCCAGAACGGCAGCAGCAGCACAGCAGCAGCAGCAGCAGAGCAGCAGCAGCAGCAAAAGAGCAGCAGCAGCAGAGCAGCAGCAGCAAAGGAGACAAAAAGGACCTGGGACATGTTGGGTGGCTTCTCTGGCAAGTCATGACGGAGACAGACACCCGAAAGGGTAAAGTGGGCTGTGGGGCCGTGCGGCAAATGAGAGACAATTAGCCGGGTAGGCTGGCCTGCAGCAGCAGCAGCAGCAGCAGCAGCAGCAGCAGCAAAGTGCCAGGGCCAGGAGCAGCAGCAGGGTTAATAGCAGGAGCAGCAGTAGCAGCTGCAGCAGAGCAGCAGCGCGGATGGGAGCAGCAGCAGCAGCGATGGCAGCGGCAGCAACAGCAGCAGAAACAGCAGCAGCAAAAGCAGCAGCAGCAGCAGCAGCAGCACAAACCGGCCGCAGCAGGAGACAGCCAGAAAAGAGGCCCTCAGTACACGCGGCCGCAGCAAACGCAGCCCGTCCGCAGCAGCAGGCAGCAGCAAAAGCAGCCCCCACCCCCCCAGCAGCAGCAGCAGCAGCAGCAGCAGCAGCAGCAGCAGCAGCAGCAGCAGCAGCAGCAGCAGCAGCAGGAGGGTACCGGCGTAGGCATATTCGTCGTCGACGTGGGTCTTGGGGGCGAGGGTTTGGGGGTCGTCGAGGTCGAGGACTTGGGCGAGGCGAGCAGCAGCAGCAGCAGGAGCAGCAGCAGCAGCAGCAGCAGCAGCAGCACGGAGGTTTGTGGGGAGGGGCTTGCCAGTCTCAAGTGTCTCCTTTACTTGCTGCTTCCTCTCCGCCAACTGTCTCTCTTTTTCCTCCAGAGACTTTCGAAACAAATACTCCTTCCGCAGCCGCGCAGTCCGCCGCAGCATCTTCAAACCCTAAACCCTAAACCCTAAACCCTAAACCCTAAACCCTAAACCCTGGGCCGCCCTCTGCGCGGGGCCTCCCCCCAGGACAGCGGCCCTCTGAAGACTGCGCTCTTCGCCTTCTCTGTCTCCTCCTGCCTGCTGCTGCTGCTGCTGCTGCTGCTGCTGCTGCTGCTCTCGCTGCTGCTGCTGCTGCGCTTGCTGCTGCTGCTGCTGGCCTGCGGAGGGAAGCCCCGAAAGAAAGGAAAAAAGACAGGGGGCTGCGGCGAGTGCTGCTGCTGCTGCTGCTGCTGCTGCTGCTGCTGCTGCTGCAGCGGGAATAGAGGCGCCAAGGAGCTTTTTTTGCGCCAAATAAACAAATAAAATGAAATAAAATAAAATAAATTAAATTAAATTTAAAAAAATCGAAAAAGAAGACGAAGAAGCCGCGCAGCAGCCGGAAGGCTCCCCCACAGCGAGCGGGACCGACTGCGTGTACACCCCAGCTGCTGCTGCTGCTGCTGCTGCTGCTGCTGCAGCAGCAGCTTTTTAGAGTTTTCTTTTACTTTAAAATGTGTTTTTATTTATTTAATTTATTTATTTTAAACAAATCCCAAAAAGTCTGGTCCCGAGCGGCAGGCGGGGTGGGGCCCGCAGCATCGACGGCCGCCGGGGGGTGAGTGAGCGCCGCCACCAGCCCAGCGAGGGTTTAGGGTTTAGGGTTTAGGGTTTAGGGTTTAGGGCCCACGCCCAACACTTTCCTCTCAAGCCTTCTCTCCGACTTCTTCTACTTTCGCCTCCCAGCCTTCCTTTCAGCAGATGCTGCTGCGGAGCACTGCAGCGCCAACTCCAGGGTCTAGGGTTTAGGGCTTAGGGTTTAGGGTTTAGGGTTTAGGGTTTAGGGTTTAGGGTTTCACTTGCCCGACCTTCTCCGCTGCAGACGCCCTCTGGGCCTTCCTGTCTGTGTTTATTGCTGCCTTCAACAGTCCAGGGCTACGCAGCCGTTGCTTCGGACCCAGCAGCAGCAGCAGCAGCAGCAGCAGCAGCGGCGGCAGCAGCAGCAGCGGAGGCGGCAGCAGCCGCAGCTGCAGCAGCAGCAACACCAAGGCCAGCAGCAGCAGCAGCAGCAACTGCGGCGCTAGACAGCAGCAGCAACGGCCCCGCAGCTCCGCTGCAACAGCCGCTGCAGGGGGCCACAAACAGCAACTCAAACAGCAGCAGCAGCAACAGCAGCAGCAGCAGCAGCAGCAGCAGCACGACAGCAGCAGAGTATGAGAGGCCGCAGCAGCAACTTGCAGCATGAAGCCTACAGAGGAGGTGTTGGGGCCCCGCAGCAGCTGCTGCTGGGGGCCCCTTGAGGGGCCCCCCGGGGCGCAGCAGCAAGCTGGCGGGGCTTTGGGGTGTACGTACACCGCAAGGGCCCGCGCAGCACTGCAGCAGCAGCAGCAGCAGCAACAGCAGCAGCAGCAGCAGCTGACCAGTGGTCACCCCGCGGCGGTTGGAGGACCTCTGCAGCGCAGCAAGCAGCAGCAGCAGCAGCAGCGGGAGGCGTTGCTGCAGGGACACCGAGGTGGTTTGCTGCAGCAGCTGCTGCAGGAGCTGCTGCAGCAGCAGAAGCAGAATAAGCGGCGGCGGCAGCGGGGACATCAGGTGGCGCAGCTGCTGCTGCTGCTGCTGCTGGCGGCGTGGTGCTGGATGTTTGCTGCTGCTGCTGCTGCTGCTGCTGCTGGGGAGGGCGCAGCAGCAAGGCGCAGGTGGAGGGGCCCCCGGCTGCAGCTCGAAAGTCTCTTCAAAGACGCAGACAAAAAGGAGACACCTGCTGCAGCAGCTGCTGCAGCAGCTGCTGCAGCAGCTGCTGCAGGAGGGGGACTGCAGCAGGAAAAAGACTGTGTCTGCAGCGAATGTACTGAGAACAAAACAAACAAGGAAAAAGAAGCAGACGGAAAAGGCAAGCAACAGTGCTGCTGCTGCTGCTGCTGCTGCTGAGGTTTGCCTTGCTGCTGCTGCTGCTGCTGCTGCTGCTGCTGCTGCTGCTGCTGCTTTGCATGCGGTTGAAGCTGCTGCTGCTGGTGTCGTTGCTGCGGACTTTACTGCTGCCCGCGGCCAGCGCAGTTGCTGCTGCAGTTGCTGCTGCAGTTGCTGCTGCAGCAGCTGCTACAGCTGCTGCTGCAGTTGCTGCTGCAGTTGCTGCTGCAGCTGCTGCTGCAGTTGCTGCTACAGTTGCTGCTACAGTTGCTGCTGCACTTGCTGCTGCATTTGCTGCTGCTGCGAATGGTTCCTCGCGCATTTTCACCTCAATTATTGATTTAATTGATTAAATAAATTAAATAATTTAATTTAATTTAATTTAATTTAATTTAATTTAATTTAATTTAATTTGTCTCCTTTCAGACTCGCGGCCAGCTAGGATTTCCTGTCCCGTCGGTGTTGCTGCTGCTGCTGCTGAAGTGAAGGACGTGCTGCGCAAAGTCGCAGAGACGCTGCAGCAGCTGCAGCAGACAACTGCTGCTGTTGCTGCTGCTGCTGCTGCGGATGGCAGCGTGCAGCAGCAGCTGCAGCAAGTAGCGGCTGCTGCTGCCCAGCAACTGCAGCAGTGGCCATCTGCTGCTCTTGCCGACCAGCAGCAGCAGCAGCAGCAGCAGCAGCAGCAGCAGCAGCAGCAGCAGCAGCAAGGGGATTCATCAGTGGCTGCTGGACAGGCAGTTCCAGGTAAAGGCGTAGAGAGACAGAGCAGCAAAGGAGACGAATGGAGACACTTGTGTCCCTTCTGTTTGCTGCTGCTGTCTCTTTAATAATCCCACAAAAGGAGACTGCTGCAGCATTTAATTTAATTTCAATTCATGCTTTTGCTGCAGTGCAGTTTGTCTCCTTTTGCAGCACTTTGAGGTGTACGTACACCTCAACTGTCTCCTTTTGCTGTCTCCTTTTGCCTACAGACACCCAAAGGGACACTTCTGCGTCTCCGGGGGCCCCGGGGGCCCCCGGGGCCCCAGGGGGGGCCCTTGGGGCCCCTGGGGCCCTTGGGGCCCCCGGGGCCCTTGGGGCCCTTGGGGCCCCAGGGGGGGCCCTTGGGGCCCCCGGGGCCATTGTGGGGGAACCCCCAGGGGCCCCCGAGGGAGGGGCCCCCTCAGGGGGGGCCCCGGGGGACTCCGGGGCCCCGGGGTCCCAAGGGACTGAGGGGGCCCCCGGGGCCCCAGGGACTGTGGGGGCCCCCGGGGCCGTTGGGGCCCCCGGGGCCCCTGGGACTATGGGGGCCCCCGTGGCCGCAGGGACTGAGGGGGCCCCCGTGGCCTCAGGGACTGAGGGGGCCCCCGTGGCCCCAGGGACTGGGGGGGCCCCCGGGGCCCCTGGGACTGAGGGGGCCCCCGGGGCCCCCGTGGGGGGCCCCCCGACTGCAGCAGTTGCTGAATTGTCTTTGCTGAAGTCTGAGCTTGAGGGGGCCCTTTTGAGTTTGAGTGGAGAGCTGCGGAGGGTGGGGGGGGCCCTTGCAGAAGCTGGGAGGGGCCCCTTCTTGGGGCCCCCCGGTGCAGCAGCAGCAGCAGCAGCAGCAGCAGCAGCAGCGGCGCCTGCAGCAGCGGCGGCCGCGCCCGCAGCAGCAGCAGCAGCAGCAGCAGCAGCAGCAAAACACCCGGAGCAGGGGCCCCTCATGCACTCCTCAGAAACCTCGAGGGGCCCCTGGAGACTCCCCGAGGGGCCCCCCACTTCCCCGCCGCTGAGTGCGGGGGGCCCCACCACAGAAGAGGCGCGGCGGCTCGCCCAGTGAGTTTAGGGTTTAGGGTTTAGGGTTTAGGGTTTAGGGTTTAGGGTTTGGGGTTTGTGGGCAGGGTTTGTGGGTTGGCAGGCGTGTGGGTGTGGGAGTGCTTGGCGGCGGTGGTCGCTGCCCTCTGCCGTGCGCAGCAAAGTTGAGGGTTTAGGGTTTAGGGTTTAGGGTTTAGGGTTTAGGGTTTAGGGTTTGGGTCCGGAAATGGCTGCATCCGAAGGAACCCGCGAGCTGCCGCCGCTTCTCGCATCGTTCGCGCTTCTGAAGTTCAGCTTCCGGGTTGAGGGTTTATTGTTTAGGGTTTGTGGTTTGTGGTTTAGGGTTTGTGGTTTAGGGTTTAGGGTTTGGGGTTTGCAGGCACCTGTTGAACCGGCTGATGCCGCACGACCCGAGTTACCACGTGTTGGTGAAGTTCTCGGGGTCTCCTTTGTCTCCAAACAAACTCGGGAGAGTCTTGACTTTGCACTTGAACAAAATTTGGTTTCGAACTCTAAGTGTCTCCTTTCCCAGCTGCTGCGCGCAGTGGGCCCTCGCGCGCGCCCAAACTGTCTCCTCGCCCAGCCAACGGAGACACTTCAAAAGGAGACACCTCATCGACGCCGCGGCCTCCTGGTTCGTCTCCAGCCACCGCCTCGCCATGCTCGGCTTCTGCTTCTCCGTGAGGCTTTTGGAGACACTTTTGGGGACAGTTGGAGATATTTTGGAGACAGTTTGGGGGCAGTTTGGGGGCAGTTTGGAGAGAGTTTGGAGATATTTTGGAGATATTTTGGAGACGGTTTTGGAGATAGTTTTGGAGATAGTTTTGGAGACAGTTTTGGAGACAGTTTTGGAGATAGCCCCAAAAGTGTCCCCAAAATGTCCCTCAAAAGTCCCTTAAAAGCCCCCCAAAGTGTCCCCAAACTGTCCCTCAAAAGTCGCTTAAAAGCCCCCCAAAGTGTCCCCAAAATGTCCCTCAAAAGTCCCTTAAAAGCCCCCCAAAGTGTCCCTAAAATGCCCCCAAAGTGTCTCTAAAGTGTCTCCAAAGTGTCTCCAAAGTGTCCCTAAAAGGCCGAAAGTGTCTCCTTTCGTGGTGTCTCCTTCAGGAGAAGGCGCAGCCCGTGCAGCCGTGTTCGGGCAAAATAGCTGCGGGGCTGGACCCCACAGCTGTCTCCTCTTGGCGGTCTCTTTTGCTCGAACAAGAAGTCCTCGCCAACTTCCGCCTTTCCGGACTCGGAGACCTCCGCAGGGTCGCCATGCTCGGCAGAGAGGTCAGCTAGCTAGCTAGCTAGCTAGCTAGCTAGCTGGCTAGCTGGGCAGTGCGTAGCTAGCTGCCGAGCTAGCTAGCTAGCTAGCTAGCCAGCTAGCTAGCTGGCTGGCTGGGTAGCTAGCTGGGTAGCTAAGTAGCCAGGTAGCTGCCTAAGTAGCCAGCTGTTCAGTTGGCTAGCTAGCTAGCTAGCTAGCTGCCTAAGGCTAGCCACATAGCTAAGGAACTACCAAGCTAGCTGTTGAGCCGGCTAGCCAGCCCGCTAGCTAGCCACACAAGCAGCCGCCACCTGTGCATGCACTTCTGCATGCACTTCTGCATGCACTTCTGCATGCATGCATGCATGCATGCATTTATGCATGCATGCATGCAGTGGGGGGTGTGGGGCTTTGTGTCAGAACGAGCTGGCGGCGCAGCGGGTGATTCGTTTGCTGCTGGCGGAGCCGTGGCTGCTGTTTAAAGAACACAATTTGGTGACGGCAGTTTTGATGGTGGCCCCACAAGACTGCAGCAGCTGTCCCCCTGTCTCCTCGGGGGCCCCCCGAGGGGACAGGGGGCCCCCGGGGGGCCCCCCGGGGGTGGGGGCGCTGCCGGCGGAGGAGGGGGGGCCCCCCGCTGCTGCTGGCAGCAGCAAGGCGCTCGAGCCCGCAGCTCGGCTCGAGCCCGCAGCTCTTGCTGCTGGAAAGGGACTGCAGCTCGCGGGGGACCAGGGCCCCGAGTGTGCTGCAGCAGCGGCGGAGGAGCGCTGCGGGGGGGGCCCCCCGGGGCCCTGCCTGGGGGGCCCCCTGCGGCTGCCGCTGCAGGCGGGGGGCCCCCTGGCCGGCTGCGGGGGGCCCCCCGGGGGCCCCGGGGGCCCCGGGGGGCCCCTGCACGACCGGGACGTGCAAATGCTGATAGAAATGGCCATCGAAGGCTCCGCCCTCGACATCCGCAGCTTCCCGCAGCAAATCGTGCAGCTGATTGCTGCAGAAGGAGACAAGGAGACAGCTGCCAGCAGCTCCTACTTTCCCCAAGACGACTACAGTCCCCACGACTCCATCATCCTCAACGCCTCCAGCGGAGAAATGCCGTGAGAACTGCATGCATGCACTTGCATGCACGCATGCATGCACGCACTTGCATGCATGCACTTGCATGCATGCATGCATGCATGCAAGTGTTCACAGGGCAGTTAGGCGCGTGGCTGTAGGCTGTGGAGGCCGTTTGCGCCCATGCATGCATGCAGCAAGTGCATGCATGCATGCAGCAAGTGCATGCATGCAGCAACTGCATGCAGCAACTGCATGCATGCATGCATGCAAGTCCACGCATGCATGCACTGCGCATGCGCGTGCGGCAGGTTCCCGACGCGGAAGTACATGGACGCGAGTCGCGTGATCCTGCAGGGGACTTGTCGGAGAGTCTCCTCGGGGACAGGAGCCACTTTGCTGAAGACTCGGGAGTTTGGAGTGGGGCTTTCAGTGCAGCAGCGGCGGGCAGCGGAGCTGCAGTTAGGAGACAGTCGCATTTTGGTGCACGTGGCGATTCGGGGACTGCACGACTCCGCCGTGCACAGCCCCGAGGAGACACTGTCTCCGCGCGGCCGCTACCCCCCCGCCTACTTCCTGAGTCCCCTTTTTCTCAGCGAACACAAGGAGACAGAGCCTTACTCTGCTGCTGCTGCTGCGCTGCTCATTCGCCAGCGAATAGCTGACCAACACCGCCACGTTTGGGGACACGCCAGAGTCGTTCTTTGCCACGCGCAGGCCCCCCAGCAAGACACGCCCCTCAAGGTAACAACTGTCTCCAAACGTCTCCAACTGTCTCCTTTTGCCGCATTTTCGCGCATTTTGGCCTTTTTTGTCTCCTTTTTGGCTCCTTTTTGGCTTTTTTTGTCTCCTTTTTGGCTCCTTTTTGGCTTTTTTTGTCTCCTTTTTGGCTCCTTTTTGTCTTCTTTTGGGCTCCTTTTCTCGCTTCTGTCTCCTTTTCTCGCTGTGTCTCCTGGCTCTTTTTCTGTCTCCTTTTGTGTCTCCTCGCTGTCTCCAGAGACTCTGCTCTTGGGCGCTGGGAGACAGCGCTGGAACTGTCTCCAAGCGCCTCGGAGTCTCGCCAACTGGTGCGAGCTGCCTCGTGGTGTCTCCAAGTGTCTCCAAGTGTCTCCAAGTGTCTTTAAGTGTCTCCAGTTGTCTCTTGACGTCCCCAAACGTCTCCAGGTGTCTCCAGATGTCTCCAGGTGCCTGTAAATGTCTTTAAGTGTCTCTAAGTGTCCTTAAGTGTCTCTAGGTGTCTCTAAGTGTCTCCAAGTGTCTCCAAGTGTCTCCAGGTGTCTCTAGGTCTCTTTGAGTGTCTCTAAGTGTCTCTAAATGTCTCTAAATGCCTCCAAGTGTCAGTAAGTGTCTGGAGCTGTCTTTAAGTGTCTCCAAATGCCTCCAAGTGTGTCCAAATTTCTCTAAGTGTCTCCAAGTGTCTCCAAGTGTCTGTCTCTGAGTGTCTCTAAATGTCTCCAAGTTTCTCTGAGTGTCTCTTATTGTCTGTCAGTGTCTCGAAGTGTCTCCAAATGCCTCCAGGCGCTTTCTGATTGTCTCTGACTGTTGTTAGTTGTCTCCAATTGTTTTTAATTGTCTCCACTTTAATTGTCTCCATTTTAATTGTCTCCATTTTAATTGTCTCCACTTTAATTGTCTCCCTCTTAATTGTCTCCACTTTAATTGTCTCCACTCTAATTGTCTCCACTTTAATTGTCTCCACTTTAATTGTCTCCACTTTAATTGTCTCCCTCTTAATTGTCTCCACTTTAATTGTCTCCACTTTAATTGTCTCCACTTTAATTGTCTTTAATTGCTTCTAATTGGCTTTAATTGTTTCCAATTTATTGTCTCCAATTGTTTTTACTTTAATTGCGTTTAATTGTTTCTAGTTGTCTTTAATTGTCTCTAGTTGTCTTTAATTGTCTTTAATTGTCTCTAATTGATTGTCTCTAATTGTCTTTAGTTGTCTCTAATTAATTGTCTCCAATTGTCTCCAATTGTCTCCAATTGTCTCTAACTAGTTGCCTTTATTTTTCTGTAATTGTCCTTGTCTCCAATTGTCTCTAATTGTCTCTAATTGTCTCTAATTGTTTTAATTGTTTTTAATTGTCTCTAATAATTTTTTTTGTTTTTAATTGTCTCCAATTGTTTTTAATTATTTTTAATTGTGTTTAATTATCTCCAAGTGTCTCCGACTGTCTCCAAATCTCTTCGCTTTTCTTCAAACTGTCTCCAAAGCAATTTCGGATTTTTCGACTGTCTCCAAGTCTCTTTGATTATCTCCAACTGTTTTGAATTCTCTCCAACTGTTTTTAATTCTTTTAATTGTCTCCAACTGCTTTTGATTCTTCCAACTGTCTCCAACTGTCTCCATTTGCCTCGGAGTGTCCCCGAATTGTCTTTGGCTGGCCCCTGTCTCCATTGATGGGGCTCTTTCTTTTTGCTGCTGCTGCTGCTGCTGCTGCTGCTGCTGCTGCTGTGTCTCCTCCGGAGTCTCCTTTTGGCCCTTTTGCTGGTTGTGTCTTTGTCTCTTTCTGTTATTGTCTCCGCCTGCTGCTGCTGTGTCTCCTTCTGTCTCTTTCGGAGCCTTTGCATGCGTTTGCTGCTGCTGGCTGCATGCGTTTGCTGCTGCTGGCTGCATGCGTTTGCTGCTGCTGGCTGCATGCGTTTGCTGCTGCTGCCTGCATGCGTTTGCTGCTGCTGCCTGCATGCGTTTTGGGGCTGTGTGCACATTTGCATGCGCTCGCCGCTGCCCGCATGCATGTTTGGCATTTGCCTGCGTTTCGAAGTTGCATGCGCGCATGCACGAGCTGGTGGCTGCATGCATGCACTTTGGGGCTGCATGCGCGCATGCACGCACCCCTGCATGCATGCACGCATGCATGCATGCACGCATGCATGCATGCACGCATGCATGCATGCATGCATACATGCACGGTTGCATGCATGCACGCATGCATGCATGCATGCATGCAGCCCCAAAACGCATGCGTTTGCTCAGGGGGCGGCGGCGGAGGAGGGGCCCCCCGGAAAGGCGGACTTTCAAACTTGGAAAATTTTAGTTGCAGTTTTAGTACCCTCTTTTGTGGTGGGGGCCCTCGTGGTGGCTTCTTGGCATTCCACGAGCATTTGCAGCTGCGGGGACTCTGCTGCTGCTGCGGACGCAGCTGCTGCAGACCCTGCTGCTGCTGCTGCTGCTGCTGCTGCTGCAGCGCCGTCGCCGAACGCGTCGCCCGACTCTGCAGCAACAGCAGCCGAGCCCCCTGCAGCAGCAGCAGCAGCAGCAACTGCTGCTGCTGCTGCTGCGCCGCAGGGCGAGGAAGCAGCAGCAGCAGCAGCAGCAGCAGCAGCAGCAGCAGAGGCCGGGGAAGCTGCAGGCAGCCGCTGAGCCCTCGAAAGGAGACAGCGCAGCAGCAGTAGGTCTCTTGTTCTTTATTTAATTTCGAATTTATTTATTTCAATTCCAACTTATTTATTCAATTTAATTTCATTTATTCAACTTAAATGCATTTATGCAAACTCATTTATTTAATTCAAACTTATTTATTCAAACTTTTTGTTTGTCTCCTCCAAACCTTTCGAGGCGAAGCCCCACGAAGAGACACACAGCAGCAGCAGCACAAACCCTAAACCCTAAACCCTAAACCCTAGCTTAAACCCTCAAGGAGACACAGGTGCCCAGCCGCAGCACTTGGCAGAGACACTTCCGGCAGCAGCAGCAGCAGCAACAGCAGCAGCAGCAGCAACAGCAGTAGCAGCAGCAACAGCAGCAGCAAAATCCGCCGCGGGCGGGCAGAGACACACCCTGCTAGGGTTTAGGGTTTAGGGTTTAGGGTTTGGAGGTTTCCGGAAATGAGTCCTTGTAAAATCAAGGCGCGCTGCCTAGTGGCGGGAGCGCACATCTAACAGCAACCCTAAACCTAGGGTTTAGGGTTTAGGGTTTAGGGTTTAGGGTTTGGGGTTTAGGGTTTAGTCCCAGTCTTCTATCCAAGTATCCGCATCTGCCCCCAAAAGAGTTATTGGTTTGCCTTCTGCTTCTTCGCCTGAAGAGCTGTCGCTGCAGCACAAACCACGAGCAGCAGCAGCAGCAGCTGCTGCTGCAGCAGCAGCAGCAGCTGCAGCAGCGAAAAGAGCTCGAGCCAGGAGCGGCTGCAGCAGCAACAGCAAAACGAGCAGCTGCAGCAGCAGCAAAAGGAGCAGCAGCAGCAGCAGCATTGGAGAAGCAGCAGCATTGCAGCAGCAGCAGCAGCAGCATTGCAGCAGCAGCAGCAGCAGCATTGCAGCAGCAGCAGCAGCATTGCAGCAGCAGCAGCAGGTGTTACCTGAAATGGCGAATTGAGGGTCTGCTGCTGGAGTGTATGTACAGCTGGGGTGTGTCTGTCTCCTGTGTCTCCTTGGGGGTCTCCTCCGCCGTCTCCGCGCGAGTGCCCCTGCTGCTGCTGCTGCTGCTGCTGCTGCTGCTGCTGCTGCTGGCTGCTGCTGCAGGTGTCTCCTCCATCCACTCCAGCTGCAGCTCTTCTCCCTCGTAACTGTCGGGATTCGTTTTGAGTCTGTGAAGTGTCTCCTTCAGTCTCTCTTGCTCCTGAAGGAGACAGTTCACTTTCTCCTTAATGCCTTCCAGGGCCTCCGCGGTGAACCCCAAAGCAGCAAGATCCGGGCCCCACTGGGGGCCCCCCTGGGGGCCCCCCTGGGGGCCCCCCTGGGGGCCCCCCTGGGGGCCCCCCTGGGGCCCCTCGGCGGGGCCCTCGGCGGCGTCGGCGGGCTGCGGCTCGCCGGGCCCCTCCGGGGGGGCCCCCCCGGGGGCCCCCGGGGGGGCCCCCCCCGGGGGCCCCGGGGGCCCCGGGGGCCCCTGGGGCCCCGGGGGCCCCGGGGGCCCCTGGGGGCCCCCGCGGACGGTTTGAAGGGCCCTTTTGATGAGGCGGAGTTTGCGGTTGCGGAGGAGAAGGGCCTGGTGTCTCCTTTCCTGAAAAGCCCTTTTTTTTTCTCGAAAGATCTCATATTGTTGACTGATTGTTGCTGCGTCTTCGAGCTGCAACTTCAAAAGAGACAAGTACAACTCCGAGAGGGCCATGCCCCCCCCCATGACTTCGTTGTCGAAAATGTAGGCTGTCTCCTTTTGCTCCTCGCGACTCAACTCCGACAACAGCCGCTCCACCCGCGGCGCTGCGAGGAGACAGTTTGGAGACAGTTTGGAGACAGTTTTTGGAGACAGTTTTTGGAGACGCTTTGGAGGGAATTTGCAGACAGTTGGAGACAGTTTGGAGACACTTTGGAGGGAATTTGGAGAGAGTTTGGAGACAGTTTGGAGACACTTTGGAGGGAACCTCGCGACTCAACTCCGACAACAGCCGCTCCACCCGCGGCGCTGCGAGGAGACAGTTTGGAGACAGTTTGGAGACAGTTTTTGGAGACAGTTTTTGGAGACGCTTTGGAGGGAATTTGCAGACAGTTGGAGACAGTTTGGAGACACTTTGGAGGGAATTTGGAGAGAGTTTGGAGACAGTTTGGAGACACTTTGGAGAGAGTTTCGTTGGGAGTTTGGAGACAGACACTTTTGGAGACAGTTTGGAGACACTTGGGAGTATAGGGAGACAGTTTGGAGACAGTTTGGAGGTAATTTGGAGGCACTTGGGGAGTAGAGGGAAAAAGTTTGGAGACAATTTGGAAACAGTTGAGACGTAGAAGGAGACAAAAGGAGACAAAAGGAGACAATTTGGAGACACTTGAGGAGTAGGAGGCAGAAGGAGACACTTTGGAGAAGGTTGGAGACAGGAGGAGACAATTGAGACCTTAAGGAGACATTAAGGAGACACTAAAGACTCTAAAGAGACACTAAAGAGACACTAAAGAGACACCAAAGAGACACTAAAGAGACACTAAAGAGAGACACTAAGGAGACACACTAAGGAGACACTAAAGAGAGACTAAAGAGAGACTAAAGAGCCACTAAAGAGAGCCTTTAAGGAGAGCCTCTAAGGAGAGACAGTGCGGAGGCGCTAAGGAGACAGTTAGGAGAGAGCAGGGTTGTGTCGGACTGGGGAGTTGCGGGGAGTCTGTCTCCGACTCTTGCGGGGAGTCTGAGAGTTGCTGGGAGTCGAGGGAGTCGGAGGAGTCCGTCGAAGAGTCTCCTTGAGGAGACTGTCTCCTTTGGCGGGCCCTGCGGGCCTCGGCGGCGAGGCGGCGTTCGACTTTGGCGAAGAAGCCCTCGAGACGCGAAGTGTCTCCTTTTGTCTCCTTGACTGCGTCTCCTCTTCTGCGCAGCAGCCGCTGGTGCTGCTGCAGCGACCACTCGGCCAGCATTGAAATGTCTCCGCCAGCGATTGCGTTTAGGGACTTGTTGCACTCTTGTGTCTCCTCCTCGACTTTGTGAAAAGCAAACCCCAGCCGCAAAACAAACTCCAAAAAAGTCCCCGGAATAACATCCAGTCTCATGTGCACAACAGCAAAGCCCAGAGTCTCCGCCATGACCTTCAGGAAGTACTGTCTCTCCACGCCGGAGATCCCCGCAGGAGACAGTCTCCACGGAGACAGTCTCCTCGGAGACAGTCTCTTTGGAGACTGTCTCCTCGGGGCCGCCAGCAGGCGAATCAAGTCTCCTTCCACGTCGTAAACCACTATGGGCTCCCAACTCTTGCGGGTCGAAGACCACCCCGCGAAACTCTTGTACAACAACCCCACCAAAGGGACTCGGAAGAAAGTTTTGTTGGCCCGCACGCTGTCGAAGTAGGCGAAGGCCAAATTAACACTGACTTCAAGTCCAAACAATAAAAGGGCCACTCCCACCACAAGGGCCAGGGCCAGGTTCACGTTCACCGGGAAGTCCGAACCAGATATCGCCTGCAAACCCTAAACCCTAAACCCTAAACCCTAAACCCTAAACCCTAGGCCCTGGGCGCTGGACCGGAGCGGGGGACTTTGGAGGAGGGTGGGAAGCAAGCGATGCGCTGGAGGGATAAGGGCTTCGGGGGAGGGAAGGGAGCTGCGACGAGGTAAACCCTAAACCCTAAACCCTAAACCCTAAACCCTAAACCCTAAATTAGGGTTTGGGGGCGACGCACCAGCATGATGCAGATGGTGAAGGTCCAAATGGACATGCTGTGGTTTTCCAGGTTGTCCAACGTGGAGTAATTTCTGGAGACAAAAGGAGACTCCCGCAGCCCGGTGTACGTACACCTCACCGCGCAAGGAGACACCTTGTGGGGTGCGCAGACAACTCGATCCCGGGATCGAAACAAACACTTGGACACACTTAGACACAATTAGAGACAATTAGAGACAATTAGAGACAATTAGGAGACAATTAAGAGACAATTAAGAGACAATTAGAGACAAATAGAGACAGTTAAGAGACAATTGGAGACAGTTGGAGACATAAAATAATGGAGAAAAAAGAATAAGAAGGAGGAGACAGAAGAGATGTTAAAAAGAAGGGGACAGAAGAGAGGTTGGGAAGAAGGGGACAGAAGAGAATAGAGAAAAAGAGACAGAAAATAATAGTGCAAAAGAGACAGGAGAGAACACTGCAAAAGAGACAGAAGAGAACAGTCCAAAGAGACAGAAGAGAATGGAGAAAAAGAGACAGAAGAGAATGGAGTAAAAGGGACAGAGGAGAATAGAGTAAAAGAGATGGAGACAGAGAAAAAGAAGCACAATAAATGGAACAGCGAAAAAGAGACAGGGAATAATAATGGAAAAGCGACGGAATAGTCAAAAGAGACAGAAAGTAGTGGAGAAAAAGGGACAGAAGAGAACAGCGAAAAGAGACGGAAGAGAACAGTCGAAAGAGACAGAATAGAATGCAGAATAGGGACAGAAAAGAACGGTGGAAAGGAGACAGTAAATAACGGTGGAAAGGAGACAGTAAATAACGGTGGAAAGGAGACAGTAAATAATGGTGGAAAGGAGACAGAAGAAGACGGAGAAAGAACCAGAGGAGCACAAAGACGAAAAGAGACAGAAAAGAGACAAAAAGAGGCAGAAAAGCGCCAGAAAAGCGCCAGAAAAGAGACGAAGGAGACAAAAGGAGACAGAGTTTGGACCTCTTGTCGAAGGGCTGTGAGCGGAGGTGGTAAATGTTGAAGATGACGGCAATGACGGAGGCTGGCCAGAGTCTGCTGCAGTTGGAGACAGTGCTGCTGCTGAGGGCGGAGATGACCAGAACGCAGAGTTTTCTGGCGAAGACAACAGTCTCCCAGAACCAAAACCTGCGGACGAAGCCGTTGTGGAGAAAGCCGAACTTGAGGCGAGTCTCCCTGCTGTTGAGTCTCTTTCTGTTTGCATAAAGAACTGAAAAGGAGACAAGGGGGATCCCGATCCCCCACGCGGCGATCCCCACGATCCCCAGCAAGAAGTACCGGAAGTAAGCACTCCGCGGCTGGAGACTGCAGGGGACACTCATGGCAGCTCGCAAAAGGGACTTAGTCCCGTGTGGGGCCCCGTAGTCTATAACACTGCAGTCAAGGAGACTCAGCATATTTCTGGTAGTTGCAGTGTGGAGAAAAAATAAAACTGTCACGTAAATGGGGATCATGTCTTCGACGAATTTGGCCCATCTCCGCCATGGGGAGTCTCCGGGAATGGGGATGTAGCGGAACATCATGAAGGCCCTGTCCTCTTGGTACTTTTCGCGGAGTTGGCGCGAGAGACTGTTGAGTCCGAACTGTTCTGTCTCCGCGAGAAGAGACAGTTTCTTCTTGATGGAGCTCCTGCAGTACTGCTGGAAGCGGCGGAGACAGAAGAAAATCAAGCCAGTGGCCAAGACGGGAAGGCCCACTGGCAGCAAGGCGTAGAAGAGCATGGAGTAGAAGAAAGAGTCTGCAAAAGTCAGAGAGAAGCCCCGCCGAAGGAGACACTCGATGGCGAAGAAGCGGGAGCTGGAGTCCTTCTGAGTCATGGACTCGGAGACAGTGCTGGTGAAGCTGCTGACCCACTCGGGAAAGCGAATTTTGGCGAAGTCCACCACGCCCAAGACGGAGAGACAGGTGAGGAAGTTGGTGGCGATTTTAATGACAACAGAATGAATAGATCTCCGATTATATCCCGCAGCTACATTCATGTAAGCCATCAAAACGTTGAAGAGCAAAAGGCCCAACTGGTACCCCACAAACAACAACGCGTTGGAGACTGTCTCCGGACAAGGCCTGCAGAGTTCGTTGCGCCCAAACCCGTTGGTGAACCCGGGGAGACACTCGCTGCACAGAAAGTCCCCCATTGTCTCCGCGCAGCCCCCGAACTCCAGGCAGGCCCCGGGGATGGGGCACTGCAGGAACCGCCAGTCCGAGGGGGAGACAAGTGTCTCCTTTATCTTCTCCAGGTAAAACCCAGCTTGGGGATAAGGCTTGACGTGGTCTTCAGGCCCTATAGCCGCGAAGGAGGGGTCTCCTAAAAGGGACTTTATTGCCAAGTCCGAGAGTCCCCCCCGGCAAACGGCCCCGTCGGGACAGGCGTGGCAGGCCCCCGCGGCGAAGTAAAAGCCCTCTTCGCAAAAGCACTGGGCCTGGGACTGGGCCCCGGAGAGACTGGTCGAGGAGACTCCGCAGAGACCGTTGCAGTTTATGTCTTGCACTGAGGACTTGTAAGAACCCTCGCTGCACGCCTCGCACACCTTCAGGCCCCGAGACGCGTCCACGAACTTGAACGCGTAGCCGCGCTCGCACTTGCCTGCGAAGGAGACAGGGGAGGAGACAGGGGAGGAGACAGAGGCGGGGGTGGGGGGAGAAAAGCGGGAAAAAGGGGACAAAAGGGGACAGAAGGGGACAGAAGGGAGAAGAGGGGAGAGGGATGGAGCTCAAGTCGAGGCAAAGGGAGATAGAATGGAAAGGAATGGATGGCAGATTGTGGAAGGGGAGACAAAAAGACGCAGAAAGAGACAAAAAGCGACAAAAAGCGACAAAAAGCGACAAAAAGGAGACAGTTGATGTGCTGCAGGGGACACGGGCACTGCAGTGGTAAGCATGTACAGTTTTATTTTTTTGTTTAAGGAGTTTTATTAATTAATTAATTAATTACATTTGTTTTATTTATTTTATTTATTTTATTTATTTTATTTATTTTATTTATTTTATTTATTTTATTTATTTTATTTATTTTATTTATTTTATTTCATTTATTATTCTTTTTTATATTTGTTCAGTTTGCATCATATCGCTGTCGGTTTATTCGCGCATTTTTATCCTACATGTTTGAGGGAATTAAAATAAATAAATAAAAGTAAATAAATAAAAGTAAATAAATAAAAGTAAATAAATAAAGGTAATTAAATAAAAGTAATTAAGTTAAAAAGATAATATAAATGCAAACAAATAAAAATAAATAAATAAATATAAATGAATAATTAAAAGAAAATAAATATAAATAAATACATATTTGTGTATACTTATCTATTTATCTATTTATGTATATTGTTTATGAATATAAATATATTTTGGAGATAAATATAAATAGATAAGTCTATTTAATACAATTACAGGTATAAAAGTATATTTATAAATTAAAATATAATATTTATTTTAAAAAATATAAACATTGAATTGAAAGTAGATAGAATAGAAATGTACAAACAGATATGAAATATAGCCACATTTATGCATTTGCAAAAGTGTCTCCAAATGAATAATGCACAAAAGTGTCTCCAAATGAATAATGCACAAAAGTGTCTCCAAATGAACCAACAAATATGAAAAACATTTGCATTTAAATGTGCATTAAAGTGTCTCCAAATGGGCAAATAAAGAAGCAAACATTCGTGTTTAAATACTCCTCAAAGTGTCTCCAAATGAATAAATAAAGATGCAAACATGTGCATTTTAAAATGCACAAAAGTGTCTCCAAATTGATAATGAAAAATGCAAAAATGCAAGGGGGTTAAAACAGAGACAAAACCAGAGACAAAGAGAGACACAGAAAGGGACGGAGAGAGAGACACAAAAAGAGACAGAAAGAGACACAAAAAGAGACAGAAAGAGACACAAAAAGAAAGACAAAAAGAGACAAAAAGAGAGACAAAAAGAGAGAGAAAAAGAGACAAAAAGAGGGACAAGAAGAGCGGGCGAAGGCGATATTGGAGGCAGCTGAGAAGCCGTGGGGACAAAAGGAGACAACAGAATTCTTTTCCCGCAGCAGCAAAAGGAGACAGTAGAATTACCGCGTGAGCAGCAGCAAAGGAGACAACAGCAGCAGAGGAAGCAACAGCAGCACCAGCAGCAAAGACGCAACAGCAACAACAGCAGCAGCAAAGGAGACAGCAGCAGCAGCAGCAGCAGCAGCAGCAGCAGCAGCAGCAGCTGACAGTCGTCGATGGAAGAGGGCGTGTCGAAGCCCTCGATGATGCGGGTGTACTTGGGGCAGTCCACGGGGGGCAGGGGTCTCCTTCCGGCGACGCACTCGGGGTCTGCACTGTCTCCTTTCAGCAGCAAACTGTCTCCTTCCAGCAGCAAACTGTCTCCTTGCTGCAGCAAACTGTCTCCTTTCCGCAGCAAACTCTCCCCCTGCTGCAGCAAACTCCCTCCCTTCCACAGCAAACTGTCCCCCTGCTGCAGCAAACTGTCTCCTTTCCGCAGCAAACTGTCTCCTTGCTGCAGCAAAGAGTCCCCTTTCTGCAGCAAACTGTCTCCTTGCTGCAGCGAAGTGTCTCCTTTGGGGAGACAGTCCTCGGCCCCCCCCGGGCAGTACCTGCGGGGACTCTTGCAGGCGAGGCACTCGCGAAGGAGACTGTCGTAGAAGTAGCCGGGGCGACAGAGACACTGAGACGAAGAAGTGGAGCCAGTGCTGGCAGTCCCCGAGTTCTCGCTGCAGGGCTTGCAGGCCTCGTTCCCGATCCAGTCCTTGTAGGAGTTGACGCTGCAGCTGCTGCAGCTGCTGCTCTCGCCCCCCGATCCCGATCCCGATCCCGATCCCAGCCGGTAGAAGCCCCGCGCGCACAAACAGTCTCTGCTCGAACTGCTCAGAGACCCCACAGTCGTCGTGTCTTGGGGACACTTCGACAGACTCCGGTGCAGCCCCGTCTTCGGGTCCAGGCCCCCCAAACAGTAATACCCCACCGGACACGGCTGCACGCACAACCCCAACTGTCTCCAACTGGCTCCAACTGTCTCCAACTGCCTTTTAGTGGCTCCAACTGGCTCTCAGTGGCTCTGAGAGGCTCCAGCTGTCTCTGAGTGTCTCCAGATGTCTCCAGCTGTCTCTGGGTGTCTCCAGCTTTCTCTAAGTGTCTCCAACTGTCTCTGAGTGTCTCCAACTGTCTCTGAGTGTCTCCAGCTGTCTCTAACTGTCTCCAACTGTCTCTAACTGTCTCCAACTGTCTCTAACTGTCTCCAACTGTCTCTAACTGTCTCTAACTGTCTCCAACAGTCTCCAACTGTCTCTAACTGTCTCTGAGTGTCTCCAACTGCCTTCAGCTGTCTCTAATTGTCTCCAACTGTCTGTCTCCAAGTGTCTCTGAGTGTCTCCATCCTCCTTCTCCAGCCGTCTCTAACTGTCTCCAATTGTCTCCAACTGTCTCCAACTGTCTCCAACTGTCTCCAACTGTCTCCAATGCTCTGTCTCCAACTGTCTGTCTCCAACTGTCTCCAACTGTCTCCAACTGTCTGTTTCCAAGTGTCCCCAAGTGCGTCTAAGTGTCTCCAACTGCCTGTCTCCAACTGCCTGTCTCCAACTGTCTCCAACTGTCAGTCTCCAACTGTCTCCAAGTGTCTCCAGCTGTCTGTCTCCAACTGCCGCAGTGTCTTTTTGTTGTTTGCTGCTTTCTATTGGTGTCTCCTTTTTATTTGTGGCGAAGGACTTCCAGTGTCTCCTTTTTATTTGAGTCTCCTCGTTGTTTGAGTCTCCTTTCATTTGTGTCTCCTAGTCGTCACTGTCTCCTTCTTATTTCTGTCTCCTCTTTTTACTGTCTCCTCTTTATTACTGTCTCCTTGTTATTTCTGTCTCCTCTTTATTACTGTCTCCTCTTTATTCCTGTCTCCTCCTTATTTCTACTCTTTGCTATGTGTGTCTCTTTGTTATTTGTGTCTCCTACTTGTTAGTGTCTCCTCTTCATAAATGTCTCCTCTTCATTAGTGTCTCCTCTTTATAAGTGTCTCCTCTTTATTAGTGTCTCCTCTTTATTAGTGTCTCCTCTTTATAAGTGTCTCCTCTTCATTACTGTCTCCTCTTTATAAGTGTCTCCTCTTCATTACTGTCTCCTCTTTATTAGTGTCTCCTCTTTATTAGTGTCTCCTCTTTATTAGTGTCTCCTCTTCATTGGTGTCTCCTCTTTAATACTGTCTCCTATCTCCTAAACTGTCTCCTAAACTGTCTCCTAAAACTGTCTCCTCCAAACTGTCTCCAAATGCTGTCTCCTCACTTCGCAAGTTTTGGTGTTTTGGTCGAGGTAGTAGAACTGTCTCCTCAAACTATGTCCTTTAAACTGTCTCCTCAAACTATATCCTTTAAACTGTCTCCTAAAACTGTCTCCTCAAACTATATCCTTTAAACTGTCTCCTTTTAAACTGTCTCCTCCAAACTGTCTCCTTTTAACCAGTCTCCCCACCTCGCAAGTTTTGGTATTTTGGTCAAGATAGTAGAACTGTCTCCTTAAACTATGTCCTTCAAACTGTCTCCTAAAACTGTCTCCTTAACCTATATCCTTCAAACTGTCTCCTTAAACTACATCCTTTAAACTGTCTCCTCCAAACTGTCTCCTTTTAAACTGTCTCCTCCAAACTGTCTCCAAAAACTGTCTCCTCACTTCGCAAGTTTTGGTGTTTTGGTCAAGATAGTACCCCGCGCTGCAGACGCAGTCTGCGAGGGAAGTGGAGGCTGTCTCCACAGTGTTGCTGCCGGGGGGACACTCGATCCCGGAGACGTTCCCAACTGTCTCCTTAAACGATCCCAACTCCACCGGCCTGCAAACCACTTTCCCGCTCTCCAGCCCCGCGTACTCGTAGCCCGCCGCGCACCTGCGCAGTTCGCATTTCATTTAATTCATTTAATTTAATTTGATTTGATTTAGTTTGATTTAGTTTGATTTAATTTGATTTAATTGGATTTAATTGATTTAATTTAATTTGATTTGATTTGATTTGATTTAGTTTGATTTGATTTGATTTGAGTTGGTTTGGATTTAATTGGATTTAATTGGATTTAATTGGATTTAATTTAATTTGATTTGATTTAGTTTGATTTAGTTTGATTTAATTTGATTTAGTTTGATTTAATTGGATTTAATTGATTTAATTTAATTTGATTTAATTTAATTTGATTTGATTTAATTTGATTTGATTTGGTTGGGTTTGATTCATATTTGGATTTGTGTTTCGAACGGCAGTCTCTTTGGAGACAGAAATAAAAACAAAAAGGGAGACAGAAATAAAAACAAAAAGAGAGACAGAAATAAAAACAAAAAGGGAGACAGAAATAAAAACAAAAAGGGAGACAGAAATAAAAACAAAAAGGGAGACAGAAATAAAAACAAAAAGAGAAACAGAAATAAAAACAAAAAGGGAGACAGAAATAAAAACAAAAAGAGAGACAGAAGTGAAAACAGAAACAAAGAGACAAAAACAAAAGATGAGAAGAAAAGCCAAACAAAATAACATAAACAGAAGAACAACAATAAAATAACAATAAAATAACAATAGTGACAATAATAACAACAATTATACCAAAATAAAAAAACGACAAAAATGACAATAATAATAATAACAATAATGGCAATAAAGATAACAAAGATAGCAACAAAACAACAACAAAAATAGCAAAAATAAAAACAAAACAACAACAAAAATAACAAAAATAAAAAAGCAACAACAACAACAATAATAGTAATAACAATAATAACAAAAAGAATAATAATAATAATAATAATAATAAAAAGAGTGAGTAAGGGAGAGCAGGAAGTGGGGCTTGCATGCAGCTGTGTGGGGACTTGTTTTCGTGGTTGGCAACAACAACAATAACAACAACAATAATAAAAAGAATAAAAATAATAATAATAACAATAATATTAATAACAATAATAACAATAACAATAACAATAATAACAATAATAATAATAATAATAAAAGTATTAATAATAAAAATAAAAAAAACAAAAAAAAGCAGGAAGTGGGGCTTGCATGCAGCTGTGAGGGGACTTGTTTTCGTGGTTGGCAACAACAACAATAATAACAACAACAATAATAAAAAGAATAAAAATAATAATAATAACAATAATAACAATAACAATAATAACAATAATAATAATAATAATAAAAGTATTAATAATAAAAATAAAAAAAATAAAAAAAGGAGGAAGTGTGGCTTGCATGCAGCTGTGAGGGGACTTGTTTTCGTGGTTGGGTTCGACGGTGAGGGTGTGGGGACTGCAGGGGACTTTGTCTCCTGCGAAGGGCCTGAGGGTGTCTCCTTGGGGATCGGATCCCACGCAGAAGTGGTGGGGCTTGCAGGCCCCACAGGGCAAGTCCTCGCTGGCTGTGGGGTAGAAGCCGGGGAGACAGTTGCTGCAGCTGGCCCTGGCGGTGGGGGCGGAGCTGCTGGCGAAGGAGTGGAGGGGACACTTCTCGCAGGCCTCCGCGGAGACCCTTCCCTTAAAGTGTCTCCTTCCGCACCCCACACAGACCTGGCTGTCTCCGAGGGCCCCGTAGGCCGGGTGCAGCAGCAGCCACCGCCGCAGCAAACTTGCTGCGCTGCTGGGGTCTCCAAGTGCAGCAGCAGACGCGGGCTGGTAGCCAGCTTCGCAGAGACAGTGGCTCAGGTCTGCAGCAAGACTTGCTGCTGCTGTCGAAGTGAAAGGGGGACACTTCACGGGGACAGCGCGAAAACCCCCCAACGAAAAGTGTCCCCTTTCCACCTCCACGCAACGCAGCTCCTCCTCCTCGTACACGGCGTAGTACCCCGGCAAACTGCAGCAGCAGCAGCAGCAGCAGCAGCAGCTGCAGCAGCAGCAGCAGCGGGGGCGGGAGCAGCAGCAGCAGCAGCAGCAGCAGCAGCAGCGGGGGCGGGAGCAGCGGGAGCTGCGACGGAGTGTTGAGGGCAAGTTCGACGGGCTGCGCGGGAGGACGCTCGGGGAGACACGGGGAGACAAACCCCAAACCCTAAACCCCAAACCCTAAACCCTAAACCCTAAACCCTAAACCCTAAACCCTACCAGGAGCAGTGTCTGTCGTCGGAGGAGACAGCGCCTTCGACATGCGAGACGGAATTCGCTGGGCAGCCGCCCCCCGTGCAGCCCGTGTCCCCCACAGTGTCCTTGTACCAGCCTGCCCGCAAACCCTAAACCCTAAACCCTAAACCCTAAACCCTAAACCCTAAACCCTAAACCCTAAGCCGCAGAGGAGACCCTGCATCTCCGCGCCTGCGCGCGGCCTTTCTCCCCCCCTGCCGCTCCCCTCCGCCCCGAGTCCCCCCAAACCCTAAACCCTAAACCCTAAACCCTAAACCCTAAACCCTACCTGCGGGGCAGGGGGTGCACTCGGACTGGCCCTGTTCCTTGTGGTAGCCCTTGGCGCAGAGACACTGGTCCTGGCTGGTGGAGCCCTCAGCAACTGTCCCCTTTTTGAGGGGACACTTTCTGCAAGAAGAGAAGTGGACTTGAGGAGTCTCCTTGACAAGAGACAAGTTGTTGAAGGAGCCCGCGGGGCAGCGCATGCACATGCCGCCGCTGTAGAAGTGGCCGTCCCTGCATGCGACTCGAAAGGAGACCCTCGTGGAGGTGCTGGAGACGATCCCAGTCCCCACAACTTGGAAGGAGACAGTCTCCTCCTGGATGTCTCTTAGCCGCAGCGTGAGCGCCCCTGTCTCCGCGTCCACTGCGACGTTGCGCAGCGCGAAGGCCCGCTGCTGCGGAGTCCCCGCGGCGCTGAGGGCGAAGCTGCTGAGCCCGGGAGACGATCCCAGCGCCGATCCCAGAGACGATCCCGCCGATCCCAGAGACGATCCCGACCCCACAACTGCCGCCTCCAACACCTGCTCCTCCCCCAACGCATACCACTCCCTTGCAGTGTACTTAAACTCCGGAGTTGCTGCAGTGGTGTCCAGCGGCAGCAGCTGCAGCAGGGGCCCCTCGAAGGAGCGGTGGAAGGTCATAAGCCACACGGAGCTCAGGTCTCCGGAGGCCCCTTGGGGGCCCCCGGGGGCCCCCCCGGGGGCCCCCCCGGCGGCCTCCCCCGCCGCGGGGGCCCCCGCGGCGGCGGCGGAGGGGGCCCCCGAGGGGGCCCCCGAGGGGGCCCCCGAGGGGGGGGGCCCCGTCTGCAGCAAACCCAAACCCACCAACTCCAACTCGCCACGGGAAAGAGACTCCACCCGGTGGGACAGCAGCATCTCCTTTTGCCCGTTCGGCTTCGTCAGCAACATTGGCTTCGGCTGCTGCGCCTGCGAGGAGACACTTTGGAGACACTTGCAAGGACTTAGGAGACACTTCTCGAGACAGTTTGGAGACACTTTTGGAGACACTTTTGGAGACACTTTTGGAGACACTTTTGGAGACACTTTTTTGGAGACACTGTTTTGGAGGCACATTTTTGGAGACATTTTTGGAGACACTTTTGGAGACACTTTTGGAGACGCTTTTTTGGAGACACATGTTTGGAGACACTTTTTTGGAGACACTTTTTCGGAGACACTTTTGGGGGAGACAAGAGGCGGCAGAGAGGGACACTTTGAGCGCAGACTGTGGGGCGCTGGGAGGGCGGAAGGGGACACTTCGAGGGGAGAGAAAGGGCTTTAGAAAAGCAAAAGGAGACACTTGGAGAGGAGACAGCAGACTGGCCAGGGGCTGGGCAAAAGAGACACTCAGGGAGGAGACAGGCCAGAAACGGGGAGACGGAAAGAAAGAGACGGAAGCAAAAGCGGAGTTCAGGGCGTCTCCAAAAACACCACAACCCCCTCAGCAGCAGCAGCAGCAGCAGCAGCAGCAGCAGCAGCAGCAGCAGCAGCAGCAGCTGCAGCAGCAGCGGACCTCTGCGACGTAGAGGAGAGTGTACCCCTTGTAGGGGTAGGCGACGACGTGCTGGGGCCTGTTGAGTCTCTGGCTGGAAGAGACAGAAGAGGAGACTTCGGAGACGAAGACGGAGGAGACAGTGGAGACGTCGTACTGCAGCAGCAGCAAACGGTTTGCTGCTTCGTCGGCCACGTAGCAGTCGAAGAGACTGGAGACAGTTCTTTCGGGAGTCTCCACGCAGAAGAGACCCCTGGGGGCCTCGAGGGGCCGGGGCAGCCCGGGCCAGTCTCCGCGGGCCTGCAGCAGCTGCAGGCTGCTGCTGAAGAGCAGCAACTGTCTCCTTTTGGAGTCGGCGAGCAGCAGGAAGCAGCCGGTCTCCGTCTGCAGCAGCGCGAGGGCCTGCGGCTGCAGCAGCGCAGCAGCAGCAGCAGCAAAAGGAGACACTTGGTCCAGGTCCCGCGGCCGCGTCATGTCGTAGGCCTCCAACTGTCTCCTTTTCGCCACGTAAAAGGTCACTCTGTCTCTGTCTGCATGCACGGCCAGGGCCTTCGCCCCCGGGGCTTTGAAGAGGGCCAGGGGCTGTGGGGCGGGGCGGCTGCGGGAGGCGAAGAGGGCCCTCACGGAGTTGTCTCCGACCCAGAAAGTCAGGGCCTTGGGAAAGTCTCCTTCCAAAAAGGCCTTCCCAACTGTCTCCTTTTCGAAGCAGCTGCTGCTGGAGGCCCCCCAGTGCAGGCCCAGGGCGCTGAACTTCGCCACCTGCATTCCGAAGGTCCCCTCGGGCTCTCCGGGGGGCCCCCGGGGGGCCCCCTGGGGGGCCCCCTGGGGGGCCCCCGGGGGGCCCCCCTGAAACACTTCCAGCCGGAAACTCAGGGCCCGCCCCACGTGTGCAAACCCTAGAGACACCATTTTGTCTCCTCGCAGCAAACACACTTCCAGGCTGCTGCTGCTCCTCGCCTTCTCCACTTCGCTGCTCACCGTCACTTCCCTGACACCCGCAACGAGACCCAGGGTTTAGGGTTTAGGGTTTAGGGTTTAGGGTTTAGGGTTTGGGCTTGGGGTTGGGGTTGCGGTTGGGGTTGCGGGGCTCGCGGCGGCCGCGCGAGAGGGGTTAGGGTTTAGGGTTTAGGGTTTGGGGTTGGTTCGCGGGGCTCGGGGCGGCCGCGCGAGAGGGTTTAGGGTTTAGGGTTTAGGGTTTAGGGTTTGGCGGACTCTGCGACGAAGAACTTGGCCTCCGCGTCGTCGCCGCGGAGGGCCTCGCGGACCTCCTTGGGCTTCCCCACAACGGCCCCCCCACAAGGTGTCTCCGCCAAAGTGGCCAAGTAGAGACTGTCGGGAGAAAGTGTCTCCAACTGTCCCCTCGCGCGAATGAACAGCGGGAAGGGCCGCTCGCCCGCCCCCGCAGAGTTCGCCACGTACAACGCGTAAAAGTGACGCCGCAGGTCCACTCCTGAGGAGACAGACACCCCACGCCCCACAGATGAGGAGACAGACACCCCACGCCCCACAACTGAGGAGACAGACACCCCACGCCCCACAGATGAGGAGACAGACAGCTTAAGCCCCACAGATGAGGAGACAGACAGCTAAAGCCCCACAGATGAGGAGACAGACAGCTTAAGCCCCACAGTCTGGGGAGACAGACAGCTTAAGCCCCACAGGCTGAGGAGACAGACAGCCAAGCCCTAGTTTTGGAGACAGACACCCCAAGCCCCACAGTCTGAGGAGACAGACAGCCCAAGCCCCACAGTCTGGGGAGACAGACACCCCACGCCCCACAGTCTGGGGAGACAGACACCCCACGCCCCACAGCTGAGGAGACAGACAGCTTAAGCCCCACAGTCTGAGGAGACAGACAGCCCAAGCCCCACAGTCTGGGGAGACAGACACCCCACGCCCCACAGGCTGAGGAGACAGACAGCCCAAGCCCCACAAATTTTGGAGACAGACACCCCACAGTCTCAGGAGACAGACACCGCACGCCCCACAGCTTTTGGAGACAGACACCCCACACCCCACAACAGTTTGGGGGGACAGACACTCCACACAGGCCTCTGGGGTGTACAGACAGAGGGCAGGGTGAAGAGAGACACTGGGGACTTCTCCCCAGGTGGCTAGACACCTCAAAAGGAGACACAGGTCCACAGACACCCCACAGAGACACCCGCAGGTGTACAGACACCCCAGAGCTCCGTAATGACACCCCCGCAAAGTCTAAAAGCCCTCGAGTCCCCAGGAGACACTCCAGACTTGAAGAGACCCCCAAGACCCCCCAAGTCCCCTCAGAGTCCCCCAAAGTCCCCCCAGTCCCCCCGAGACTTTCGGAGTCCCCTTGAGTCCCCCCAAACCCCCAAGTCCCCTCCAAGTCCCTCCAAGTCCCCCAACCTCCCCCCAAGTCCCTTAAAGTCCCCCCCAGTTCCTTAAAGTCCCCCCAAGTCCCTTAAAGTCCCCCCAAGTCCCTTAAAGTCCCCCCCAGTCCCTTAAAGTCCCCCCAACCTCCCCCC